GTTAAAAGAAAATTAAACATTTAATCAATTTGATTTGTCGATGTAATTTGACTTTAATCCAATGAAAAGCATTTTAACATTTCACATCATATTATTCATAGTTTAATTATTCAGGAGCTTTTAAAGGCTTTTGGTAAATTGAATAGTGCACACAAATTCGGGTGGTCTCCTAAATCTCTTAATAGCCGTCTCAAGAATCATTCGATTTTTCCATTATGTTCAGAAAAAGAAAAAAACATTTTCTTGCCAGAATCAGAATTGTCTTTTATCATGCTCAAGAAGTAACATTCCCTGTGTGATGGTCTTAGTTAGTGGCTCGTGGACTGTTTCCACACATGTAGATAAGGCTATTTATTTAATGCAGCACAAATTCATCATAGTTTCTTTAAAAAATACAGAAATAATCAGCTCTTCTTCTACTTTTTTGTATCAAGAAACAGCAGCGCCTCCACAGGAAATTCTTTGCAATGACTGGCATTAACAGTAAAGAATGGTAATCAGTAGAACACTTACTCCTGCCAGGGCCCAACAATCCTGTTATTGTCCTTATAGAAGAAATGTCAAATCAAATGTGGTCCACTAACCTTAATGATTTATTTGTCATAGAAAATTGTTAAAGAAAGTCATGAGAAAAAAATCCTGGACCTGCCACTTAATCTGCAACTGCAGCAGAATGTAATGGGTTCTTACCCGGCCCAGGCCCCATATCTTTGTTTGATGGACATTAGTTTAGTATTCACACAATCCTGTTAACAAACAAACAAACCAACATGGGAAAACAAAGAGAGAACAAATCCCTGACCAACAGCCTTCGGACATCCACAAAAATGTCAAAAATAAAGAGAGGAACCATGGTGAGTCATTTTGCTTGTCCCTAAAAACTGTATAATTGAGATGATAGAAGTTTTAAAAACCAGTTGTAATTAAATGCACCATTGTTTGGTATTTAGTGAAATCAATCGGACAACATCCCTATAGTATGTGAGCCGGTGACTATAAGCTTACCATGATCGAACCCCTTGGAGAGATGTAGCTGAAGATGACAGTCAGGGCAGCTGCACCCCAATATGAGTGTGTTGCAGTCCTATTCTCAATGTCAGACAAAGGTGAGTGAATGAATTCAAGAAATAGTCTTTGGCTAAAATACGACTGTGAGGAGAGAGCTGAGCTGTAAATCAAGGATCTCCATTTAATGCTGGGTCCTTGTTCCCACTCTCACCTGAGGGCATGACTGAAAAATGGTGGAATAGCGGTGATGAGATGAAGACACGGCTCGGTCAAACCTGCTCAAGCCACCAAACCCACAGGGACAGAATCATGACCAGACTCATGTCACATTCAGTTCACTGCCTCAAATCCACACTGAAAAAAGCATGGCCCGAACAGGAACTGATATATCATCTTTATTTTTATTATTTCATTACAAAATTTCATCTAATATATGTTTAAGAATTGTCAGAAAAGAAAAATACAACAACTTCTGATGTATTCTCTTAAGTTTTGTGCTTTGAGATCGAGTTTGTCTTACAGCGAGAACTCACTTTCCCCCCCAAAAAAACAAGCTGTGATTTATACTGTGGAAGAAATCATTTAGAAGCCACGGGAAAACATGAAACCCTGGATTACAAGTCCCAGCAGTTCAGCCAAAGGGTATTATCTGACAAAAGGATGGTCAGGCTGCTCTGCTCGCCCTCCAAGCTGCTATGAGCTTAACCAGGAGCAGGAATAAAAAAAAGGATGGATGACAACCCAAAGCCTCCGGACACGGCAGGAGGAGAGTTACTCCACAGACTGATATAAATACAGTAAACAGAGTCTCAAGAATAAACTAATACAAACAGATTTATTGTAGTTAAAGGTAAATTACTCCTATGTTTTGTGCATTATCTCCTAAAATACATTTAAACCAAAGGTTTTTAATGATGCAAACTAAAGTTTTGATTTAATCTGCACCAAAAGTTGGATCCACAAAAAACTTGAATTTGCCAGTTTCATGGTAATCTGTCCAGAACACTGTTGAAATCAAGTTTAACATATAAATAAATGCATACATTAAACAGACTAACTTAACTTATTTGTTTGTTTGTTTAACACAAACTCCTCATGATGGAAATCACTTTAATACATGTGACCCTTTACATTTAACTTATGTCATAAAGTTACATGGAAATTGAATATGTAATTGAAAAACATAAAGCCATGGTTTTAGGCAAAATTACTTTTGACAGTAGTTTTTCTTTTTTAAATCCAAACAAACAAATCAGCCAACAAACAAACAGACAGGGTGAAAACATTTAACCTTCAGAGGTATCTTGGACAATTAGTGTTATCGTTCCACAGTTTGTCTTCATTTCTGGGGATTTGTTTAAAGCCTGATCGTTCGACGTCTTGTGCCTCTCTGACCTATTTTTAACAAATTCACTGTGTTCCAAGAACTCATCAACTGTGATCTTCATATTATAAAACATTCAACAGACGAACCAAGCTGTTAAGGGCAGTTTTCCTTTAAAGACAATTGTCAAAATATAAAAAAAGACAGAAATGTCTTTTTCAGGTGACACATCGAGTCTCCGACCTGAAGAGTGAACGTGTTACTTAAGAGTTCATGACGCAGTGAAAGGCCTGCAGGATGACGCCTGTGGATGTGGGTGCAGTTTCATCAGCATTTGTCCCCTTTGCTCCTTCATCCGTCTCAATATGAAGCGATGAAAATAATCACAGGAGACATCAAACTGAACCTTTTCCCTTTAGTGCCAGTGAACCTGTGTAACCCGACATCTGCGTTCAGCCTCGAGGCTCCTTTGTCTCTGTGCCTGCTGTCATGATGCCATATTATCTACTAAAGAGACAGAACTCCATTCTTTAAAAGTGTCATTAACACAATGGTTCTAATGACAACAGCTCCAACTTTGACGGCGCCAACTCGTGATATAATGTGTTTGGTGCAGCAGTTGTGACTCTTGTGAAAATCCTCATGTACGAGACATGTCGATGAAAGTACGGTAGAAAAATAGGTGTGGTTAATCTCATTATCATTTCTAAACCTTGAGATGGAGTCGAGAAAGCCCCACTGCATGAAAAGTTGGACTTTCGTCAATTAACAGCTTGTTAATTGTTCACAGGTATTTTCAGGCCGCACAGAAAACTACCAGGAACTGACGTGAAGTTCCATTATCTGGTTGTTTTCCCAGTTTGGCAGCTGTGTCATTGTGTATAAAAGTCTCAACCATTTGTCCTCCCACAAACCTGGCAAACTCAGAACCACATTCACATGTCGATGGCATATTAAGCTGTTGACTCTGCTGAAATTGCCTCATCATTTGGAATTCAATTGTTTTATTGTTGAAATCAAACTTTCCCAGTATCGCAGCTCGTCCTCAAAAAAAACGAAGACATGGCGAGCTGGCAGCAGAGCCGCCATCTGCTCTGTCGCCATGCTCGCTGCAACTCACGAGGTGCAGAGGAGCGAGGCAGAGAGCAAGGCCCGGTGTAAAGCTGTGGAGGTCTGCTTCACAGCGGGTCAGCTTTGGTAAAGGTGGAGGATGTCAGCACTGAAGATGTGTCTCTGGAGGACATGTGGGAGACTTACAAGAAATTGAAGAGTGATCATTCATATGCAGTTCAAGAAACAGAATTTTTCTGTTCTATCGTTTCTCTCCAACACGAGTCAAGCTCCAACAAACTGCTTCCTACAGATCCCAGAATGCAACTTCCATAATGTCTCACACTAAAACCCAAAAAGCATTGGTGCTCGGAGCTCCTCAGGTGGCTCAGATGCTCAAATATCAATGTATCATGATAAAAGTTCGGCCTGGTGTATTAATGTTGAAAATGACTAATGGACACAATTACTGTGCATGTTTAAGGACAACTGCAGCACAAGGAAGGTCGTCATTAAAAAAAGAAAGAACTTATTTTTCATGAGTACCTGAGCAGATTATGCCTTTGGCTGGAGAATAAAAAGCTGCAGATGAAATCCAATTTGCATTTGAACAGTTCTACATCTAGAACAAAACGACCGTGGGTCACACGCATATTAATTAATTGCAAAATAACTTCGTACCAATGTTTACATCATTAGTTTTTTTTAGGGTATCTTTCTGTCCACCCGTATAGAAATAACAGGGAGGAGTTTCGAGCCACCATCGCATGTCTCAGCTAATTTTTACAATGTGATATATTTACAGTCATATCAGCTTTAATGTTTCCCTTGTTTATTTCTGTGGAATACACTGCATGTACCTATGAATGTACATTATACTGTACATGTATACTGTACGTGAAGAGTGAAACTTGGCCATAAAGAGAACAATTTTAGCTTCTACACATCTCAAAAGATTATTTGTTTTTAGCTCTTACATGCGTGAGCCAAAGAACCACTGACCGGATATGCTTGGCACACCTGAAACAAATCCCTTTCCTTTTTTTCTGCACACAAAACTCTGGCAGCCACACGGCAGCAGCCACACAGCAGCAGCCACATGCTGTCAGGTCCTGCAGCAGGTAGAAGCAAATCACTTACCTTCTATCATGCTTCAAACCGTTTACCCTAACCAATGCTGTAATCACTCTTATTTTTCTGATGTCCTCAGTTAAACGTGGCATCTATTGCACTTCTGTCCGTCCTGGGAGAGGGATCCCTCACATGTGGCTCTCTGAGGTTTCTACGTTCTTTTTTTTCTTTTTCCCTGTTAGTTACTCTTGTTGAGGGTTAAGAACAGAGGATGTCCCACCTTGTTAAAGTCCTATGAGACAAATTGTGATTTGTGAATATGGGCTAGACAAATAAAATTTGATTGATTGATTGATTGAGAAGCAAATGGATTCTTCCTCACCAGCGGCTGCAGGAGCTATCAGCCGCTATCCAGGCCCACGAAGGCAGAGCAGGATTGAGTTTGAAAGATGATGATAGACTCCCAAGGAAACTAATCTATTTCTAAAAGAGGAAAGGAGTATGAATTCTATCCCCCCCCCCGCCTACCCTATCCTTTCACCGTGTCTCTCAGCAGCAGCGTTATAGGTCAATTTTGCAATTGAAATATGCCAATTAAATGGACCCTGAACAGCATGGGAGCTGCTGCAAGGGGAGAGAAGCAGATGTCTTGGATTCTTGTTTGCTCCTGCAGTGTTGGAAAATGAATGAGAACATACAGCACATATGCAACACTTCACTGTAAGTTTCCTACAATGCTCTGAGGCAATTTACCTTAAAGTTAAGGTTTACGTTTTCACTTTTGTTATAAGAATAACAGGCTTTTTTAAATTGGGCTTGTAAAAATATTTTAAATTTCAAATCCAACATTAAAATGCATCTACAGATCATTAAATTACTAAGACATTTTTACAATGTGTGCTGTACTTATATTTGTGAAATTGGTTGTTATAATTCATTATTAGTGCTAATTAACAGCAGGTAACTGATACAAAAAACAACAGGACAGTTAAGATTTGCAAAGCTGAACCATTTGCTCTCTCACAGGAGCTCCAGTGTCTCTTCTTTTCCGGGCGATGAATTCACTCCCGCCGTGTTCTGCACTGTGTCGAAGTGGTGCTGCATTACACACTGGAGCGTATTACGTCCACTGGCCCTTTTCATTTCTGGATAAATAAGCTTGAAATCAAGTCTTGAAAGTTTCACTCTGCAAAAATGCAGCTGTTACATGGCCGGGAGCATATGTAGACAAGGCAATATCAAGACCCAGACGGCTCCTGTCAGTCGTTGGCCCGTGGATCTGCCCTCCGTTGCTGCGTCCTCGACAGGTGGATGATGATGATAATGATGATGATGTCTGTGATCACCGGTCGCATCTGGGCTCACTGAGGAGAGAGCAGAAAGCAACATGGCAGTCAGGAGGATGCTCATTATCAATATCACATTATGAAAGATGGATTGCCACAATAGCCTCGAGAGACAAGGCTGGTTTATTTTTCTTATTGTCAACAAACGCAATGTGCAAAACCAACAGAGAGCTCGCCCATCTCTCAAAACTCAAAGGATGAGTCACATGGGTCACAATTGAATGCTTATACATTGTGTAAGCACATCAAGGAGGTAGAACACATAACTGATCGACCTCAGATTTGTAAAATGTTTTTCTGTTTCACGTTTAGTTTGAATTTGACTTGTCAGGAAAAATCAACAGCATAGAGAGTTCTGTGAATACTGAAATGCATCAAAGCTTACAGAGCTCCTCATAAGAAATGAAAAAGAAATATTTAATCAGGGACTGTTGATTAAATATCATGAAAAGTTTAAAATTACAGATTTCGCTTAGTAGCAAAAATCTGCCTTTAAACCTCAAATAAATAATAAATGTTATTTGTGATAATTAGTGGTATTGACCGATATGAACATTTTTATCTTGATATCATTTATGGCCATATCGCTTTGCACACAGACACACGCAAACGCACACAGGTTATGAAACAGCTGTGCACGGTGGCTTTAAGCAAACTTACTTAAAGGAGAAAGAGCGCAATATTAGAAGTTGATTAATAGGCCTACACTAGTGAGTATGTACACTAGTATATTGGATCAACTTTATTAAGCTATAGGGCCCATGGTCATAGTAATAAGGGAAAATGTCACACTTTGTGCCTCATTTCTGAGTTTTAATGGGTTTCAGGCAACAGGAAAGGTCTATAACACAGAGGAATAAGGTTTCTCCAGCTCAGGATGAACATTAAATAGATATTTGTCTTTTAAAGACTGTGTTTACAATAGATGAATACAAAATGTCATCAGAAAATAAAAAATATTCTCTTGCCAGTATCACATTTTTATCTCTAATCCAAAAAACTATGAAATTATCAAAATTGTGCAATAGTACACACTTTAATGTAGATCCAGGATCTAAGAATAATCATTTTAAAGAAAACAAGACCGAACTAATTGGAAGCTGAGAATAAACGATTCCATCAGTTTCAGGAGCCTTAAAGATTTACACCGTTCTACAAAATGTCACGTTTTTGGGGTTTGTTGTTTTAACTGCAGCCATAATGCTTCACACATCTTCCACAGCACCCACTAAACCATTAAGGGAGTTAGGTAATTTTCCACCAGCCTATTTATAGTGAGCCGATGCAACTATAGAGCACCTTCAGCCTCCATCTCTTCCCCGAGGTGCAGCAGAGAGCATCTTGGACGCTCCTGTGTGTCAACAGCTCTGTGAATGTTAGTGCCGAGGTTTTACAGCTGAAGGCATGCTAGTTAAAATAGCATCAATCAACACGTAGATTTCGATACATTTTTCTTTTGATTTGGACATGGAGCCCCTGAGACCACACCTCTCATATCAATTTCCTCTGAGGTAATTTTTATTAATGAAAACGTGACAGCTGTAAAACGATTCTATATTCACAGTTTCTCAATTGTGTGGTCGGATATACAGTATATTGCGGTGAGTTTAATGTTGTGCCTCATCGGTGTGTCCTTCTCAATAATTGGTTTAAGTGTTTTGTTTTAATTAACAGCAACAGACACACATAAAAAAGATGGTGGATAAAAAAGAGAGGAGTTTAAAATGTAAAAAATGTATGTCACAGTCTGAGCTCAGCATTTTAACCACTAAGCTGCCAGGACACCACATGGTGACTGCTCTTATCCTCGACCCTCCATGTTACACACTGTGCTCCATATGGGTCAGTTCTAAGATTAAAGCTCTTTACAGACTAGACATGTGATCATTTTACATGTGAGGGTGAATTGGGGGTAATCTGGGTAATGTGGGACACCTAAGATTCAGTCTGTTATTTCCTGTTTGTGTTTAGAGACTAGCGATTAACTAAAGAGATGCAGCATTAGCTCTGCTGTTGTCAGACAGGAGTTAGTGGTAAATCCAGTCCGTCCCTCAGATAACTAGTACATAATCAGTTAGCTCTCTAGAACAGAAAATAAATTATCAATTGAATAATCTGCTGTTTCTTGCTGTTGATTGAATTTTAATTGATTTTTATAAAACTTGATACACTTTTAATAGAAGGTTTTAAATGTTATTTATGACAAACATATGACGTTCACAAGTTTAATGTGAATTAATGATATTTCTGTGACTAATATACATTTTCTTACTCAGCTTTCTGTACTTGTCATGTTTTCATAATGCTTTTTTAAAAATTGCTAATACTGAGCTTGGAATGCATGAAGCAAGCTGATTTAGGCTTTTTCCTTTTCAAGCCTCATACAAGGTTCCCGGATCACAAGGTTACCTGCCTCAGATGATCAAATTCAGGCAGAATTGTCTTTTTTGTTACAAAGAACAATCAAAGCGTGTGTCATGTCTCCTCTGAGTATGATATCTCCATTCTTTCTTCTCTAGTGGATTACAGAAAGGTATAATGTGTTGATCTTATGTGTAAAACAGATATTGGAATAATTAGCAGAAGTTAAAATTGCCAAAAATGTCCCAGATTACCAGAATTCACACAACAGAAATTTGTAGGAGCAATATTGTGGTTATTATTTTTTCCAAATTCTTGCTTCAGACATCTAACTAGTCAGAATGTGTGTTGTTGACATCACAGGCAGTAGCAGAGCATCTTCAGCTGAAAGGTGCATCATTAAACCTCTGAATAACACTGAGTCCTTCATTTAATGATGTCCTTCATGTGGACCCATCAGAGCTGCACACTTTGTTACACACAGTAAATAAGGTTTGGATACGGACGTTGTCCATTAACTGGATTCTTCAGGGAGGTAACTTGTGAATTTTGTTTTTGCCTTCAGAACTTGCAGTGGGGAGTGTAAGTATAAGTGACAACAAATTCTGAACATCCAGTATATGAGAAAATGACTTAATAAAATAATAAAGCAAAAAAATCTGCTCCCCTTTCCCTCTAACCTTCATATTATATATCTCAAACCACCTGGACTTGAACTCCAAAGCCTGTTTGTCTACACCTGTGAGATTACACCTTAACAGCAACGGATATCAATTCAGACAACTGCACCGCACCAGCTGCCAGCATCCATCTTGCTGTTTACATCTCTTTGGAGGCCTCGAGTGTCGAGGTGGGAAACTCACTGTCGCTTCCTGAGAGAAATGCAGTGTCCTCTTTAGCCCCACTGATGTTACCTCAGGACACTTCAGACTCCATCCTGCTTCACCCCCGCAGGGAAGGAGGGAGGCAGGACCCCGACAGACTGGCTGCTCCCGGAGTTTTTAGCCTCTCACTTATAGGCCTGAGGGTCATAAGTCTGTCGCAGGCAGGATTACTCTAACCCAGACCCTTTCACACTATATAAAGGCTCTGTTATCAAACTTTATCTTACTAGCAGAAAAATAAGACCTGCTGCAGAGGCCATTTGTACTCTGTGGACTTTAATTCCACTTTTTATGGTGCAGCAGAAATAGCCTGTAAATTATTTCACCATGGCAGGATGGTGTAATGACTGGATTTTCCAATGAGAATCACGACAGTGTTATCTAATATCACATTGCATGACATTACATCTAATATATTGTAATTTTAAGTATGTTGTAATCAAGAGCAGTGAACTTCAACTTAATTTTACTAATGAATCAGTTTTGCAAATGTGAAAGTGCTGTTTTGTTTTAACTGCGGGGGAAACACAAAGCATCTCTTGCTATAAAAGTTAAACTTCAGGGTCACGAACACAAGCTCTGACCCCAAAGAATCTATTAAAATATAAAAGTATGCAATTTTTAAGGAGAAATATATTGCTACTGCAGGTGCAGGGTTAAAAGAACCTAAGAAATCGACGGTAGAAAAAGAAACTAAAGAAAAATTAAAACAATATTCATCTGAAGATTCATGTGCTTGAACATATTGAATATAACTTACATATTTTAATAAACAGTTTGATACGGATAAAATCTGGCTGATGTGTGGCTCATTATGTCTCAACATCACTTTACATTTTAAAGTTTTGCACTAAAACACTGAGGTCTGAAAAACGTACAAAGAAATTAAAGAAACAAAAGATGTAGAATCTTTACTGTGCTTTGTTGTGATAAAACATTTTGTAATGTATTTAACATTTTTCCAAAGTATTTAAAACAGTCTGAAATATTGAATAATATTGAATGATTTAATAAATGAAATAGTCTCATTTGGAACTAAAATGCTTAATTACAAATTCACATTATTTAATGTCTCACATACACACTGCATTGACAACACAGCTCCGATAATCACTGCTGATTGTTCTGGTTTTAAAAATGATATTAGAGCATCCACACAGCCTCATATTATCCCTCAAAAAGCTGCATCCTCACAATAACGACTTAAAAGAGAACTATGTGGCCACAGCGAGTTCAGTCGCCGATAGTTAATGGCTGAAAAGAACTATTACGCTCCGTCTGTTCATGGATCCACACAACTGATTCTGGAAATCTGCTTGGAAAGTGCTGGCGTAATGACATGTTTTAGAAAACCCTCAGCAGAGAGGTTAGGATGTTTGAAAAGGTGTTTGGTCTGAAGAGAGACGCAGGTCAGAGAGAGAGGCTTACAACTGAAGCAAAAATCAATATAAGCTGATTCCTGAGGACTTGGAGCAACACTGATCAATAGCGCGCTAACTGCACCAGCTGCGATGTGATGGAAAAGAGCCTTTTTTTGTGGTTATAAGAGGGTCAGCCATAAGAGCCGAGTCCATGATCTTCATGTTGTCTGTGTGAGTAACAGGGTTTTTATAAAGAGCTGGTGTTTGTCAAACTTCATTAGCTTCCATGTACAGCTTCTTTTATTTTAGAAGTGTTCGGAGAGGTGTCGTCCTCCAGCACTTTCTCTACAGCTCTATTACTGAAAACGCCATATTGAGTTACAACAGTTCAACTCAAACTGCACAGAGAGTG